ACAGTGCTAACATAAATGCGTGTGTACATAACCACATATGGACATAGTTAGACACTGGTTTGCTCGCACGTGCATATGGCCTTGTAGATGTATAACCCATTTTAAATCAGTGTAATTTACATATTCACTTGTCACATGGGGCAAACAAAACGTAAACATAAAACTGCAACTTAAAAAAAAAATAAGATTTCGGCAGAGCATACCAGCTTTTGATTTTCTTAAAACACCAGGATAACAAGGAGGGAATAAACTCCCCTTTTTAAAATCTAGCTTTTCTGCAGGTTCCTATTCTATTGGGTTTGGGCCGCAAAAATTGTGCTAGTTTACAAGATCTCCAACAACCGTACCAGCTCCTTTTTCTGTTTTATTTTTAAAATAAAACTCAACTGAATACAGGGTTTGTTTTTTTAAAAGTCTGTCTATAGACCTCTTTGTGAAAAATAAATTCATGAGCAAGTTCTGCAATAGCCGGTCCTTATCATATATATACCAAGCCCCTGCCCTGCATTCCACCAAGGCTTCTGCAGCCAATTCGCTAAATATTGGACACTCTTTCTCGTTCTTTTTCTCTACAACTACCGCAGTTCTTCCCCTCGACCCCTTTCTTCAGTTAGTGCCTAGGACTCAGGCTAGATTTCTAAAGCCCCCACACAAACCAGAAGATCGAGGAATGAAATGAGAGCCAAGCCATTCTCCTCGCAGAAGTGAAACTTACTCCTCGGGGTCTGGGTTGCAACAAAATATTTGGTGTTGCTACTCAATATTGGCTGCTTCTCAGCTACCGGTGCCTTAATAGAAATGGAAAAGAAAAGGCCTTTATAATAATAAAAAAATCTAATTCTGCCTGCAGGCTTCGGCCTCCTTTAGAGGGAGTGAGCAGAGGAAATAGCATCTTGTTGTTGACATCTGATCTATAAAGCAGGGTATCTGATAGAAATAGGTGCTTCAACCCAGCTCTAAACCGCACATAGTGTTAAGGTGCTATATTTCCTCTCCCTCTAACCTGCAGAAAATTCGGCAGCCCTAATAATTGTTTCTTTGTAATTTTTGTTTAATTTACCAATAGCAAAATAATGACCCAAAGTTCCTAGTTGGGCTGATTGGCGTTGGGTTTTTCTTTAGGGGGTGGTGGTAAAAGCTTGTTCATTGTGGCTAGAGGGGGGAAAGTCTTTGGAAAGATGCTCATCTCCTTCCAGTGGTACTCTACTCTGTGTTTAAAAAACAGTTCCAGTATCAAACTCCGGTTAACCTGGAGCTGCTCAAACTAGAGGTGATGGGGCTGGAGTCGGAGGCAGACTGTTGCTCAGATATGAAAGGCAGGTATCCATCAAAGTCATATCTTGTCCAGCTGCCACGTGATTGTTTCGAGTTAACAAGGCCCTGTTGTCAGAAGCAAATATTTCCTCCAAGTCCACCGAAATGTCCTGCAGAGGGCAGATGCTGCTCGTTTTCTGCAGACAGTTCTCTGGAATATTGACCTAGGACTTTAAATCTATACCCAGCTTAAACACTTTACCCATCAGCATGTCTGCGGCCACAAAACACCTCGCTCCCGAGCTACGGATAAGATCATTTAGCCGAATCTGTTTGGGACGAGTGTAGGGGTTAGAAAAGATGATGAAATCTAACACGCCTAGAAACTAGCGTTAAAAGGGGGATATTGTATTTATTAAACCGAGCAAACCAAAAAGGATTTTAACACATGAGCACGTGTTAACAGTGCTCAGTTTGATTTCGCCCACTAGTAAGCTAGGCTCCAAAAGGGGCTCCTTTAACATGGAGCTCTTTCATTTGAAAGTGACCAATTTGTTACAAACAGCGCAGCTGTATCTAACCGCTTCCCATCCCCCCGCGCCCGCCATCGCCATTACTAGACTACTTGTTACTTTTTTATACAGCATTGTTCCTTTATACTCACTTCAGGGCCACTGGAACCAGCTAACACTCCGCTTTCTAAATCGATTAAAAATTCAAGTCGTTTTCCCAACCCAGACAACACGGAGTTCTAGGCGTGTGCATCCCCCCGGAAGTCACTGGACAGCTCTTTTCTTTAAATCTAGTTGTTTTTAACAGGACTCCTTATAATTAAGCTCCGCCTTTGCTCTTAAATTAAGAGTTGACCAGAGAGGAGTAAGTATTCGCCACTCTCCCCCATGCTTTCAGCGAGAACGGGACTACTAGCTTCGAAAGCAGAGCTCTTTAGAGAAGCATCAAAGGAAGGACACTCCTACAAGCATGGGATTCAATGCTTAAAAATATACTGCCGCGGTTAGATTTGGCAAGACAAAATGAAAACGGCCTCGTGTGCTAAGCTAAAAGACTCTGGACGTTATAAACAGGGACCTGTCGATATACTCCAAAATCCCATTAAGTACAAAGGAAGTACAACTCAGTATAGGTACTAGGGTGTTCGCCTCCCCTCCAGATTTTAAGAGCTATGCAAATCAGTGCTATCTTTAAAAACAAATTACAGATATTTCAATAAGTAGAACAAACTATGAAGGTATTGTGCATTTCTGTTTTATGTAGATAATAAAATATTACTTTAACATAAATATATAAGGATCTCTGCGTTTTTATTTTTCCCCACAAGCACATCCAAATGTACCAAAACAAAGTATTTTTAGAGACGGAAACAAAATAATAATTAAAAAAATTACATCCCATATAGATTTTGTTTACCTATTCATTTAAAGCTACAGAAAAACAGTTTCCAGAACCTGTTTGCTTTAAAAGAAATAAATATACATTGAGGCAGGCCACTTAAAAAATGATATGAAAATATTTCCCTGGGTAGCATTTTAAAAAAAAAGAAACAAAGAAAAATAGACAAAGAAAACATTTAAACTATTTCTGCATTTCAAAGGACAAATATTAAACATATATACATAGTGGTAAGGTTTGCGTGGTAACTTTTTATTATTATTATTTTAAGTAAACCTATTTAGAGTTAGAGGCTTTTTCACAAACATCCTCTGAACTCTGTTTTTCTGACCTTACCCACATATTAATGTGTCTGAAAGTTCATTTCCTCCCTTTACCACTGGATCTGCCCTGATCTGAATCATTTCACTGGGAGCTAGTCCTCAGCACTCTAAATAGCAAACAGCTGAATACATCCAAAAAAAGCTCAGTGCCTGTATCATTATGACAATCGTTGGAAAAAACAGAATAAAGACAAATAAATATGCCTAATAGAACTCGCCATTTGCTCACCAAGAAAATAAGAGACAACCAGATGTGACAGGCGCTTAAAGAGACAATGAGAAACATATTCTAAAGCCCTACCTACTGAATTCACTGTTGAGCTGATAGTTCATCGAGAGAATGTTTCACATTTTTTTCTCCATAATTGCCAAACATTCAACTAAGCAAACTTTTCATATTATGAAAAAGCTTTTTTCCCCTATGACAGCGCCCTTTTGTGCTGATTAGATAGTTCATTTGTGAATTTGTAGCTAGCACAGTTTAAAGTCCCTCCATCTCATACACAGCCACTGTTTCAAGTTTTCTTCCCCTCCATAGCCTTTTGTTTTTGTGTTTTTGGAAAGTTAACCGTTTCCCGTCAAGCTAATGTCAAGAAATGCACTTTAAAGCTATCAACGAAGGGGAGAAAAGAGGAATTAAAAATGGCATTTTCCCAATCCATTTGGTTCCCCCCAGTGAAAAAGATAAGGCTGCCCAACTTAAACTAGTCCTTTCGTGCAATGAATGGAGCAGCGAGTTGAGCAAAGGGCGTGGGATTGTTATATATGAGTGGAAAAATAAATATGGAAAGTAAAGCAACAATAAATGCACTAGACATGCAGACAGAACCGTGTGTTATGTGTTACGTATATATATGCAAGTTCTCCGTGCTTTCTGTTTATATCTTTTTGTTGAAACTGCTCAATAAAACAAAGTTTAGAGGCTGACATCAGCACATCTACTCCAGTGCGATGTATTTAGGAATACTAAAAGCACACAGAGAACTTTACATATGGGGTGTCTGAAGTTAAATCTCCCCCCCCCCTAGGTTCTCTTCAAAGTGTCACTTTCTTTCTGTTAGAAAACTCTGGACATACATTTAACCTCCAAAACATTTCCTCCGAGCGCTTTCACAAAGGGCCTTCCTCCCTAAAATGAAGCAGTCAGTCACTATTCATTTTTTCTTTTACTGTCCCCAACCCCAAAACACTGCCTGAAAATGAAGTTTACGTCATTGGTTTTCATTATTCTCTTCCAAACTGGACTCTTGCCTCTGAAGGCACGTCTTAAGCGTTTGTGAGAGTCAGCTCTCTTGAAAGTGGAAGTTGTTTGTGTTTATATATATTTGCTATGGTAAAAGGAGAAAATAAACATTACACATATGTAAGAAGACTTGTTTATAACAAAAGTTCACATATACACATAAAGAAAGCAAGGGCTATAACACAGTAACATTTTGTAGACTGGCCAATGGTTGCCTAACGCTCACCGTGGGAAATGCAAGTCATTTGCAAAATCAAGGTAAGAAAAAATGTATTTGTTAATGTAAACTTCAATTTTCTTGCAGTGCAAATTCAAACGGTTAAATACTGTCTACATCAAAAGGGATTCATTTTTTTATTCCTAATGGGGAGCCACATCAAATAAACACAGCAGCATGTGCCTAGACTGAGCATCATTCCAAGATTAAAGCTGCCTTTGTGTTTAGCGGGGCTCAGAGTCGATTCCATTCTTTTTTCGTAATTAATTTAGTTTTTGTGAAAGATTTCTCTCAGTGCCTGACACTGTGCGTGTATCTGTCTGTCTCGTGTCTGTTTGTGTGTGATACTCACTCCACTCCATTGCATGGGCACTCGCCTGTAAAGATCAAAACACATCATTTCACCTGCTACCGTTTACGGGATAGTCCAGTACAGGTTTTTTTTGTTCTGTTTTTAAGATAGGAGAAAACGTAAAAAAATAAAAATAAAAAAAATAAGAACAATCAAAAGTTGGAGGGGTTTCCCCCCCCCCCCGCCAACCCCCATGTGAGTTCACTGCACAGGCGTCTGCACCCCGTGGTGTGGTGGAGTGTCCCTACTTGCCCCATATACATCCTCGGCTCCGGGCAGAGTCCCTCCCGGGGGAGTCATGCGTTTCTCTTTCTGTCTCCTGTTACAAAACCACACTCGCACCACCTCTTTCTCCAGCTGTAGGCTGTCCGCCAGCGAGGTGATCTCCTGGGCAGAGGGCTTGGGGCACTTGAGGAAGTGGCTCTCCAGGGCGCCCTTGACGCTCACCTCGATGGAGGTGCGCTTTTTCCTCTTGCGCCCCTGGGCTGCGATCTTGTCTATGCTGGTGGGGCTGCCCGAAGACGAGTCCGCCTCCTCCAACCACTTGTTCAACAAAGGCTTCAGCTTGCACATGTTCTTGAAGCTCAGCTGCAGGGCCTCGAACCTGCAGATGGTGGTCTGCGAGAAGACGTTCCCGTACAGGGTGCCCAGGGCCAAGCCCACGTCCGCTTGGGTAAATCCCAGTTTGATCCGGCGCTGCTTGAACTGCTTGGCGAACTGCTCCAGGTCGTCCGAGGTCGGCGTGTCCTCGTCCGAGTGGGGGTCGTGGTGGCCCCCGCCGCCGCCCCCGGGGTGCTGCTGCTGCTGGTGCGGAGGGTGCTGCTGCGGGTGCCCCCCGGGGTGCTCTCCGCCGTGGTGCTGCTGCTGCTGCTCATCGTGGGCATCCCTCAGGCCGTGGTGGTGCAAGCCCGGCTGGCCGGGGCTCAGCATCCCGTTGACCGTGAAGCCCGGCGGCTGGGAGTAGAGCAGCCCCGCTTGCCCCCCGTTGGAGGAGGCCATGCTGGGCGGCAGGTGAGCCGAGGCGCCCGTCCTCCATGCCCCGGCGGCGGCGTGGTGGCTGCCGGCGTGGTGCACCAGGTGGGGCGGTCTCCCCTGCTGCTGCTGGTGCTGCTGCTGCTGCTGGTGCTGCTGCAGCTCGTCCCCCCGGCCCCCGGACTGCACCACCGAGGGCTTGATGTCCTGCTGGCCCAGGGGGCTGGTGGACCAGGGCGAGTCCCCGCCGCCGCCGCCTCCCCCACCGTGGGACAGCGCCGTGATCCACTGGTGAGCGTGGCTGAGCGGGTGCCCGTTGCTCTGCAGCGTGTAGTCCGGCTGCACCAGCGTCTGTGCATCCCTGTAGCCGGCGCCCGGCTGCATGCTCCCCGGCGGCTCCGCATGCACCATGGAAGAGCTGGAGGTGAGCAGGCTGTAGTGGTTAGACGCTGTGGTCGCCATGACTCTCCGAGCCGGACTGATCGCTCTGGTTAAAGGAGCCGCGCATTTGACAGCTACTTTTTCGCCTCGGGCTCCTCTCTCCTTTCGCTCCCCCCCAAGTCCTCTTGGCAGAGCCCACTGCAAAGGCACGCGTCCCGGCTCCTCCCTCCCGCGCCCACCCATTGGCTCCCACCGCTTTGATTTACGTGGAGACCTCTAGCAACCGGCTCCGGGGGAACCACCGATTGGCCCCAGCCGCGGCGCCGACACCCCGCCCCACAACCGCTCGCTCCCTTTTTGTAACCAAACTCTAAGGGGGGAAAAGGAGCTTGGCTGCTTGTAACCACATGGACGGGGGAAGAAAGGGGGAGATGCGGGGGAGGGGATGATTCTCAGCGCACCGACCCTGCTAAACCCTCTGAACACAGGAGAAGCAAGTACACTCTACTCTGGCCATACACAATGCAAGTCCTGGAGGAGATGCATGTTGTTTTCCTGTTGCTTGCATCATTGCAAACCTGGCTGGCTCGTTGCATGCTTTAAACGCTGTTTGCTTTTGTGCACGCACACGCTGCGCAGAGCGCGAGCTGTTGACTGGAATATCTTTAAGCACGGGCTGGATTGCAAGGATGGCACTGGTACAAGAGTGAGATCACTTTACCACAGTAATTTGTTCGCTCTGTAAGTCACACTAGCGCTTCATCAATGCTGCTCTGTTGACTCGTGGTGAATTTCCTACCCTCCCCCTTCCATCCACGCGCCGACTCCTTACGATTTTTTTTAAATGCAACTTTGTTAGCGACACTTTAAAAAAGAACCAGAGCCTGCTGGTTTGTAGATATAGGGATGGGTTGGAAAGATCCGAGCGGGTGGGCGAATGCGATTCCGCTATAGTCTTTACACCCAGAAGCCCGGGGGAAACTCGCTGCTCCCGGGCCACAATGCAAGAGGGTGATGACGGGTGCTGCTGCACTCTGGGGAGGACAAGAGGCTATAGCAATTCCCAAACTGCCCCAGCAGCAGGTGCTATCCGGGACAAAACACCCAGCAACGAATTTCAGGGCTTAATACCTTGCAAATCACAAAACCACGGCAGTCCGGCAGTGTTAGGCTTCCCCGGGCACTGGGGGACAGGAATGTTTACAGATCAGCTTCAGCGACTCCGTTTTCTGCGCGCTAACATAAAGATAAACAAGTTGCTGCCCGAACAGGAAAAAAGGACATTGTGGAACTGGATGCGGATCTCTTAGGAATGAGCGGTACTCGGGTTAGCCGTGGTAAAGAGTTCGTTTCCCATTTTTAAGTGGTAACCAAAGCTTTATCTTGAAAATAAACTACTGGGGGAAGGGAGTTGCGCTGTAGACTCAAAGTATCTTAATCAAAATAGTACAATAGGGCAGACTGGAAAATGTATTACTACTAACAAGAACCAGCTTTCTTCTGAGAGTTGTTTATAAATCACCATACTTAACATACAGACCTTGAAAGACTGTTTGGCTGGAAATGGTCCTCTGTGTGAGTGTGTGGACGGGCTGGTGCACACAAACATATACAGAGAGACAGCATAAACAGGTTATTTAGTGTTAGCAAGATACTCCTGCGGGGGCCCTTGTTTCCTTAGTTAGTTTAACGGCATATTAAGAGATTATTCAACCAGGAGTCAACTTGGCCCGTGTGAAAATCATTTAAGCAGCAAGGAAGGGGAGATTCTGCTCGAAATTTTTCCTCTCCTGTGGTGTGAGGAAGACAAGCAAAGAGCAATGCTGTCTGTTCTGCAGGTATCTATGAAAAGTCAGTTTATACTTTATGTCTCTGAATTGTTTCCACGATAGAAATCATATTTTTGGTCATGTTTTAAGGACATTTACAGTTTGATGCTGAAATGCTGGTGCAGTTTGTCCAAATCAGGTATAGTCCATTGCGTGGAAATAAAAAAAAGCAAAATCTACAACAAACTTCCACTAAAACAACCAACAGCGCCTGAATAGAACCACAGCATAGCATACACCAGGAGAAAAGCACTGGTCTTATTTACTATTGGGCGGAAATCCTTTTTCAAGGCTGAATTTGAACTGGCTTTTCTTCAAATACCGAATGAAAGTACTTCAGGACCCAGGCTACAGAATGGCTTATTTGCAAGTCCAGTTTTTAAAGCGTATTTATGTGCCTCGGGGTGGTTACAAGTGTTATCCTTAGAAAGTCAACGAGAAAGTCACTTCTGCCATAACCTAAGGCAGGTGTATCTCACATATTTATCCCCAACTAATATTTCTATTTGGCGAAACTTACCTCTCAACTGGACAAAACACACAAGACACTGAGCAGAGAGCAGGCACCAGACATTAGAATTTCTGTATACGGTGAAGCAATCTGAAATCAGCCTTATGCAACTTAAAAGTTCCCTGCGTCTCTCTCGCTCTCCCCCTCCCCTCCAGTTATGCACAGACGAAGAGCCAGGGACGACGTATACAATCGCTGTTCCGCGTGTTTAATACCCCTAATAAATCACCGGCAGATATCAAAGGCTCCTGGTAATCACACAATTGCAAAAGTATGAACACGGTGTAAAACCCCCTTTCCCCCTACTGCTCCCCCTCCCCCCAGTGACATTAACATCTATACGTTCACAGCTGGAAAGAGCGCAGAGTGCGAACGGTGAATTCAGAGGCGATGCAAACTCCGCCTCCTCGTCCCCATCATCATCATCATTGTTATCCTTGTCATTAATACTGTTTCTTAAGCATCCTTAACTCCCAGCTCCCCCTGTGGAGGAAACCGCTATCGGAGAGCTCATGAGCGGGGAGAGCTCTTGATTGTCTGCTCCTCTGTGGTTCCTGTGTGACTGGTGCTGATTTCAGTTGGAGCCCCCAGATTGGGGCTGGTTTAGGTCCAAGGAGCTCGGGATGTGAAAGAGACAGTCATGTGTCCCCTTTCTTTGGTAACTGACCCTGCTGGATTAGAGGGCTCTGGAGCCTTTATTTCCTTTCTCTGCCCGTATAAAAGCAGGTTGAAGGTGATGCAGTGTCTTGGGCAGACACTGCAGTGTTTTGATTCAGCTCAGCCCTTTTCACTGTTCAAAGCAGCTGTTCAAATACTAGGGCTGCTTACTTTGACGTGAAGAGGATTTTCAAACAACCCTAAAAAGCTTTGAACTGACAGGCCTCCTTGATATCTCCTTCATTCCAATACAGCTACCCGAGAATATTCTCTATAAAACACATATAGGCTCATCTTAACCGGAGCTTTCCCCTGTATGGGAGGTGAGCTGCTGCACACTCGCAAGGTACATTGCATAAGGAACGGTGGTGGGTTCAAAGTATTGATCCTGCTGGGACGTTTAAAATCCAGGCGAGCTACCGCATTTCCTCTGGATATAGTTTGTGGACTCTAGCCCTTTATTGTTAAATATCTTGGATTGTTGAATCATCCTTTTACTTGCAAAACGTTGAGTTGTCTTAACGCTTACACTCTTAGCAAATCCGAGCCTTGCGGAGAGAAAGCTACATCTACTCGGTCAAAATACAAACCCTGATCCTTTCTAACAAGATTTTATTTCTAACGACCCCTTAATGCTCGGGGTTTTAAGAGTGCTCTTTTAAAAAAAAGGTTCCTCTATTTAGAGACGAAAAGCCTATTTTAAACTGTGCACTCAGTGGCTCGAAATCGACTCACGCAGCTAAAGAAAAAAAAATTCTTCCAAACTTCGATTTTTTCTCATTTATAGCTAGTTTTAGGGTGAAATCATCAAGAAGAAGAAATGCACTCTGCAATTTGCTAATATACTTTTTCTGGTGCAATAGACACAGATCCATGCAACCGAGCCTGCTGCTCCATTTAAAGGCCAAGTTGTGAGATTTGGGCACATTACTAGGACGCATTTAATGTAACTATTGTGAGATGCGACTGTTTTGATCTCTTGTTCCCTTTTTAACCTTTCTGTATGAACTATTCAATCCTGCGCTTTCTGTAGCTCTTCCCAGTGTGGCTCGAAGGAGCCTGATCTCGTGGAGAGACCCAACACATGAATGGAACTTCAACTTTAAGGGCCTTCAGAGGGACAAAACTGAGGCCGAGGCTTCACAAGTGATTGCTTTAAAAAAATCCAATCTACACAAAGAGGCAGCTGGCTGCTTTAATGAAAACTGCCTTAAAGCTGCAAGAACTGCAGCCTCAGGGATGTATTTATAAGATGACTCAAAAGCACACTTTCAAGTTGCTTTTCCTCAGGGTAGGTATAACAAACATATTTAACTAGGATATCTAAACAAAATGGACAGAAACTGATAACTTTGATTGCACAGGATCACATTACCCACTGAAATTAAAACCCATAGTTTAAATTGATTTCTCCACCTAGCTGCATCAGACAAAAGAATATATTTTTTCCTGCTAGAATATCGATTCGCCTAGAAGATAGAAAGGTATAGAATAATAATGATAAAAAAGTTTCTGAAAAGTTTGTATTAGTGTTCATTTCCAACATTCCAACATTCTCTGCAACTCTATTCTTCTGGCCACTTCATTCATATGTGGCTATTCTGTTTTATCTGCATCGCTGTTTAAACTAGTAGGATGTAATGTTCTAAGTTCAGTATTTGAAATTAAATAATTTGAATTCCCGGATATTAATCTTTTCCCTTCATCCTCCAGTTCTGAATCTTTGTCATTAAAAATGATCCACCCTTTGTAGTCCGCAAGTGAATATTTTATAGACAGATACCGCTATGAAGACTTCTAACACAACGTCAACCAGTCAAGCTTAGCTGTTGCAGGGATTACTTTGAGTAATTTATCAAAGGAACGCTGCTAAATTTGGAGTGGTGACTATGAGGCCTGGAGGGGAAAAGAAGCAAAAAGGACAAATTCCATCAGTCTGTGAGATAAATTCTACTTGGAGTTAATACAGCTTGTTTATATTGAAGTCTTAGAGCTAGAACAAGATGCGATTGGTAGAGTTTGCCTTCATGCAATTTACTTTTCAGAAGGCTTGCTATTAAATGACCTCCCAACAACGCAGCTTA